CGTAGCGCGCCAGCCAGCCGTGCCCGGAGCCCGAGCGCAGCCTCGAGGTAGGAGCCCGCGTCGGGGCGGCGAGGGGTGAGCGCTACCGGGATCCTCTCGGGAAGATGCGCCCGGAACGCGCCACAGCCTCTTATGGCCTTGGGGGAGGTGGTCCTCAGAAATCTGAGGGGCTTAGAGCCCAGGCGAAGTTAAAACTGGGCGGACGGGAGAGACTGAATGGATCGAGGAGGCTGGAAACTGGGGAAACTGGAGCGACTGGGACAACTGGAGGACTTGAAGCTTGAGGACTGCGAGTACGGAAGTCTTGATCACCTGGAAGCCGGTGATCGGGAGAGGCAGCCGGCGGAAGCGGGGAGGAAGGTGTCTCTAGCCGCCTTCCCGCTTTGGGGAGAGGGAAGCCGGGAGTTCGCGTCCTGCTGTCTCCCTCCCCGAAACCTTGCTAGCAGGCGACGCATCCCAGGACTGAGCTTCCTGCCCTGCTTCTGGAAAGGTCACTCTGTGGAGCCTGGGGCCTGGGTCGTTAGCCTCCCCACCCCCTAACCCCTGGGGCCATTCCCAGGCGCCAAAAGCTATTAGGGTCCCCGGCCTCACTGCTCCCGCCCAGCCCTTTCTGGGCTGCCCCGCCTGGGCCTGAGGCTCCATTCCTGCCGCTTCACCCTGTTCCTTTCTTGTGGTGAGGCAACAGGAGCCTCAGTAGGCGCCCCAGTCCCTCTCTCTCTCCCTTTGCCAGACTACCGGGGCCACCTCCCTGGTACCAGAAGCAGAGGGTCAGCTGTGTGAAGTCCCTGCCATAAACCATAGCTCCTCATCTGTCACTATCAGAGGAGGCCCAGGACACAAACCCCACACCTGGGGCATCAGAGCTCCCAGGCCTTAGGGAGAGGTGGGGAATCTTCAAGTCACAGATATGTAGGCAAGAAAGGGGTGGAGATTTTTGGGTTCCCAATGGTTTAGGGAAAGTGGAAAGACCTGGTTCACAGAGGTACATACAGTACATATTTGTTGATTGAATGAATGAATGTTTTTGTTCAAGTCACTTCTCCAAATACTGCCTCAATCTCCTCTCTTTTTTAAAATAAGAGGGTTGGCCTGAAGCGGTGGTTCTCAACACTTGGCTGTATTTTAGAATCATCTGTAGAATTCTTAAAAATGATCCATGCCTACAATGGATCCCCTTATGTAATCTCTTTGGGTAATTCTCCTTTTTGATTTCTGTGAATTCTAGCTTTTCCTGTTGCGCTCAGCTTCCTCCACTCTGACCCTGCATCCCTTAAGGGGTGGCAATTTTACCTTCCTGAACTTGCTGGTAAGCTCTTCTCTCCCCGACTCCTTTCTCTGGGGAAGGTGACCCCTCCTAGCTTCACATCTGGGTCTCCCTTCCATTGGAGGAGGGCATGGGCAGCAGCGAGAGAGCTGGCTAGCACCAGCTGTGGGTCAGGACTTGAAAGGGAGCTTAACTTTCTCTGGTGGTGAGAAGTCCTCCGGAAACTGGCACTGCAGCTGGACCCCCCAGGGAGGTGAAGTTCTGCCTGAGGGAAAGGGGTGGGGGCCAGGGAGTGAGTTTGGTGGAGCCAGGCAGGGAACTGAGGGGAGTGAGATAGAGCAGTGAAATGCTCTTCTACTGAATATGGCTCAAGGATGGAATGAGAGCTCTTTCTTCAAAATCAGACTATGCTTTGTCCTTTGAGAAGTCAGGTCACCTCAGAGTTTGAGTTTCAGAAACAGACCACTTCCCTCTCCTCATCTGTGTCCTGAGTTAAACTGGGGATGCTGAGATGGGTCTAGATCCTCCATTTTGGCCGTCAGCAGGTCTGCAGGGGGGCCTGGGCAGTTGAGGTGGGATGGTTTGAGCATTGTACTGTAAGCGTATCTAACTTAGCAGCCCAGAACCAACTCGACTCTCAGGATAAGCTGGGTGCCATAGGAGGGATAACCTAGGAGAAGGTAGACTTCCATCATCCTCTGCCCATGGCCAAGAAACCTCACTCACTCAACCCTTCCTAGCACTCTCAAATTCTCTTAAATGATCTTTAGTCCCCACCCAGCAGCGTGTTCCTCTTTTTCACCCGGGGGCCAGAGGGGGGCACTTTACAGGGAGGAGATCTAGGTTGGGACTGAAAGTGAGCTGATGACTTTGCTCACTCACCTTTTCTTTGCCTCCTTTAGGTCTCACCTGAGGTGCCCCTGACCGTTCCTGTCCCCCACCCCGGATCCCGGCAATGCTAACCGCTGTCTGCGGCTCTCTGGGCAGCCAGCACACGGACGCGCCTCACGCCTCCCCGCCGCGCCTCGACCTGCAGCCTCTCCAAACATACCAGGGCCACACGAGCCCGGAGGCCGGGGACTACCCCTCCCCGCTGCAGCCTGGAGAGCTGCAGAGCCTCCCGCTGGGTCCTGAGGTGGACTTCTCACAGGGCTATGAGCTCCCGGGGGCCTCCTCTCGGGTAACCTGCGAGGACCTGGAAAGCGACAGTCCCTTGGCCCCGGGACCCTTTTCCAAGCTCCTGCAGCCGGACATGTCACACCATTATGAATCGTGGTTCCGGCCGACTCATCCAGGCACCGAGGATGGCTCATGGTGGGACCTTCATCCCGGCACCAGCTGGATGGACCTCCCCCACACTCAGGGCGCGCTGACCTCACCTGGCCACCCAGGGGCGCTTCAGGCTGGTTTGGGGGGCTACGTCGGAGACCACCAACTTTGTGGTCCACCACCCCACCCACATCCGCACCACCTCCTCCCAGCCGCTGGAGGGCAGCACCTCCTGGGACCTCCCGACGGGGCAAAGGCCTTGGAAGCTGCGGCTCCGGAGGCTCCGGGGCTGGATTCCAGTCTGGACGGTATAGCCCGGCCCAAAGGCTCCCGGCGGTCAGTGCCCCGGAGCTCAGGCCAGACCGTGTGCCGTTGCCCTAACTGCCTGGAGGCGGAGCGACTGGGGGCTCCGTGCGGACCCGACGGGGGCAAGAAGAAGCATTTGCACAACTGCCACATCCCAGGCTGCGGGAAAGCCTATGCCAAAACGTCGCACCTGAAGGCGCACCTGCGCTGGCACAGCGGCGACCGTCCCTTCGTGTGCAACTGGCTCTTCTGCGGCAAGCGCTTCACGCGCTCGGATGAGCTGCAGCGCCACCTCCAGACCCACACGGGCACCAAGAAGTTCCCCTGTGCGGTCTGCAGCCGAGTCTTCATGCGCAGCGACCACCTGGCGAAACACATGAAAACCCACGAGGGCGCCAAAGAAGAGGCTGCCGGGGCGGCCACAGGCGAGGGCAAGGCCGGCGGAGCGGTGGAGCCCTCTGGGGGCAAAGGCAAGCGGGAGGCGGAGGGCAGCGCTGCTGCCTCCAATTGAGCTCCTCGGTACCGCCTCCCCGCTGGTCTCCCCTGGGGGCATCAGAAGAGAGCACCCTGGCCTGATGCCCTTGGGGAGCGGCTTAAAAGGAGAAGGTGGTTATTTATTGAGAGGGAGGAAAAGTGGTGCGGTGTCAGGGAGAGGGGGCGCTAGGGGTGTTTTAGTCTCTGGGGCTGGACGGGACGCGTTTGACTGGTTGGGCGGGGATGAGCCGTGCAAGGCCCTCTGTTGTCGTTTCCTCACTATTCCACTCACGACCCCAGGCTGGGGGGTTGGGGTGGGGCACCTCTACCGCTGCTGGAGGCGGAGGGGACCTGCTAGAGGAGACCATGCGTCCCCGGAGTGGGGCCGCCCTTGGCGCTGGGGGTAGCTGTCTGGACACGTCTTTAGCTCCTGGGAACTGGGACATAAAAGTGCCTCCGGAACCGCCCTGCGGCCTGGGTCTCTTTCATCCCTCTCCTAGTGCCCCTTCCCCTAGGGTTTCCAGAGAGAGAGCTGAGATGGGGTAGGGGAGGCTGGGGGTCCCCCTTAGGGAGAGGTCTCTATCGGGCTGGGAGGGTTGTTGCTGTAGAAATAACTCCTTTGATGCGCCTCCTTAATCCTTCCAGACCCCGTCTGATGGAGCCATGAAGGAAGAGGGGAAGAGGGCCAGAATCCGAGACAGCTTCCCAGCCAGAACTGTGGGGGGAGGAGAGAGCTAGATGGGGGGCGGGGTGGGGAGCGGTTGAGCAAGGAAGTCCCTTTCTCCAATTAGAGAAAGGGATTTAGTGGGGGAATGGAAGGAACTAACCCCTTCTCTCTCTTGAACCCAGATTCAGTCCTTAATTTGGGGTCTTATTAAAAATAAAGTTAAGTAGTCCAATTTCCCCATCTGTTATCTGTCCTCCACCCCGATGTAAGCTTTCAAGGCAGCCAGGAGTCCTGGCTCTAGAATTTGTGTAGTTCCTCATCCTAAGTCCCAGGAAGAGGATTACCTTGGTTTGTTGGGAGTGTCCCAACAGAGGGACCTCCAGTGGTTCCCACTTAGAGTGCAGGACTCTGCCTGGCCATCTCCTGCTCACCAGAAGCTAATCCCCACTCTTTCTTTAGCTGAACCCTCCCCTTTCCCTGCAAACCTCTGCCCCTCCTTTAGAGTGTGTGTTAGGAGGCTCCTTCCCCCCCTCCGCCCCCCATATGAAGGAGTTGTTCTCCCAGTGGGATGGATCTGCCTTCTGAGGTGCTGTCCGGGAAGCTGTCCTTGTTCCCTTCTTTAGAAGCTAGAAATACATCTTGATTGTGATCATAGAGTGGGAAAGCGGGGAGAGGAGAAGCCCAGCAGAAGCTGAGCCTGGCAAAGGGAAGGAAGCTGCTGGGTTTGGAGCTAGTGTGCTTTCCCAGGCTTGAGGTGGAGTCCGTAAGGTTCCCCCTGACCTCCCCTTCCCACCGGCCCTCTTTCTCCACCCACAGCCCTATGTGAGGATTAGTTGTGTATTGATTTTTAAGTTATAAGCAAAGGGTATTTTATTTAATATTAGGGCATGCGTGTGTGCATGTCTATGTGTACGTACGTGTGTGTTCGTGTGTGTGTGTGTGTGTGTGTGCGTGTGTGTGTGTGTCTGTGTTTCTTTACTGAGCCTGGGGTCTCCGGCCAGGGAGACCCCATCTTTTTTCCCCCGTCCAAGGTCCTGGGGCCTAGGCCCACGGTGTCTCCTCCTCCGTTGAGGATTCTGGACCCAGCCCGAGGACTGGAAGCTCTGGGAAATGGGGCTGTGATCTGGGTGGGACTGTGTGTTTGCCCAGAAAGGGAGCCCTTCTTGAAAGGGACAAGGTGACTCTCCCTGAGGGACTCATGGGCCAGAGGTAGTTTAAGAAGTAATGCTCTTTCTTTATGCTCCCTCCTTTCACTACCTCCTACTAACCCAATAAGAGGTCCCTTTCCTTGCTGAGAGGGTCGGGGGCAGGAGAGTTGGCAGCACCTACAGGTTGCCTGGCCAGGTGGAGAGAGGGGGAGAGAGGGAGGGCACTGTGGGTGTGGGATGTCTTTCTCCTCCACCCATCGAAACCAGCCACCCCCTCCCTGTGCCACCAGGACAGCCTTTCCCAGTGACCCTTCTGAGGGGAACTCCCGAATAGGTGTTGGTGGTGGGGGGACACAGAGTCTACGCCCTATGGAGGCCCCGAGCTCTAAGGTGTCGGATGAGGGCTTTGGTTAGGTTTTCTTCTGCTCCCCTCTTTTATAGATCTAGGTTGCTTGGCTGTCTGCCCCCTTCTAGGCAGCCCCCTAGAGGAGAAATGTAGGATTTTTTTTTCTTTAACTGCTGTGAATCCACTTTGTAGGGGGAAAGAGGAGGAAGAAACAGCCTGTGTTTTTTAATGCCATAATAAAGTGATCAACCACATCATTGCTTCGTTTGTCTTCCAGCTCGGGTTCCCTTTTTGACTCAGTGTCTCAGCAGTGAGGACCAGGGCGGCTGCAGGGTGGGGCGGATACTTCCCTTTGATCTTGCAGCTCTGGGCAGCCTCAACTCCCTCTGTTTGGGGCAGAGTTGAGCTGATCCAAGGGTCAGATCCTGCCCTGGAGGTGGTTGGTGCGAAGGAGGGAGGAGCTCCCTCTGGGTTGACATCTGTGCTGACTGTCCCTCCCTGGTCTTCACCTGTGGGGATGAGGAGGTTCTAGATATTTCCTTCCTCCTGCACACATAAGCCCCCTCTTTCCCCTCCCCTGCCAAGAACGCTGGTTGCCTGCCTTCCCAGAGATAGCCAGCCTCTTGGCACCCTCACCCCACCCGTATGGGGGTGTGTGTGTCAATCAGTCCCTCTGGCTGTGAGTGAGGTGGGGGTGACTGACAGCGATTTCTTCACCCAAGATGATCCCTATCAGGGACAAGGCGATGAAAGGCAGCCAAGATATCTGATGGGCTCCCGCCCAGCTGGAAGGTATGAGGGAAAGGCTCCTACTGCAAATCGCAGATTAAGACCTGCCAGTTACACAACCACGCTGTGCACAGTGCGCCCTCGCGGGACCCATGAGTGCCCTCGGATGTGCAGAAATGCCCGTCGGTGCTCACTGTCCCAGGCCGCCCAATGCCTGGTATGTAGTTGGTGCCTAATTCATGTCGTATGAGTAAAAACTTCAACTCCAGAACCCCGAAACCAGGAGGAGAGGTGGAAGATCAGTTTGGGCTTCACGGGGTGGGGGAGGTTATTGTGCCCTTTCACCTTCCTATCCTACTTTTTTTTTTTTTTGCCAAAACTGTTTTTTTCCCTAGTGGGATTTCTATTTACCCTACTCTAACCCTAACCCAATTTCTCAAGAGCCAAACCCAGGTCGGTCCACTCCATCTCATGTCTGAGTTTGGGGTCACAAAGTTTACCTTGGAATGGAGGCATCAGAATGATTTAGGGAGGAAACCAGTCTGGTCTAGGGGGACAAATGTTTTGTTTCCATCTGCTCCTGTATTTAGAAGTCTGGGAGGAGGAGGGACAGACATATTTTCCTATGACCTCATGCCTGCCCCACTTCTTGGGGTGCCTCTTTTGTCTTCCTGGTTCTGGAGGAGTTAGACCCCATTGGTCCCCCAAGGACAGGAGGGCAGCTCTGGGGCCGGCTGGGCCTGTCTGGGCAGGGCTGGGGCCGCCCCTCCTCCCCTCGCAGCTCCTCCTGCTGACCTGCATTCTTAGCGGGGGCCTCTGGTGGGGCTCTGACGCTCACTAGCTCGTTTGCCTTGGCAGCAATGCTGCCTAGCTGGCCTGGCCCCCTAATGGAACCCAAAGCCACCTCTGACCTCAGATCTGATGCCCCCAGCAGGATGATCCCGGAGGGGAATCAGAACATCTGGACTGACGCTCTGGGTGACCTTTCTGAACTTCCATCTCCTCCCCTGGGAAGTGGGAGTAGAATTCCTCTAGGGTGGGTGAGTGAAATCAGGAATGGGAAAGTGACAGAGGAGCAGGCGGCAGGGGAACAGCTGCCTGAGGCTATGCTGCAGCTGTCCCAAGCCTCGCCTCCTGCCTGTTCCTGCCCCACAGCGGGCAGCAGGGGACGTGCAGGAGGTGAACCAGCTTTCCTGCAGGCCGCTTTGTTGGCGCTAGCACACAGCCTTGATGTTTGCTCTTGGAATGACATCCAATGGCAACCTCGCCACCTCTCCGGAACACCGTACCTAAGCAGCTTTCACCTCCCCATTAGTCCCAGTGAGCCTGACTGCTCAGCATCTTAGCAGTGTAGGTTTGAATAGAATCTCAGGAACCAAACAGTCCAGTTGTTCCCACCCAGTAGATGGCATAGTTGAATTACTCATGGAATTTTTCAAGATACCCTGATTCCCCAACACCCCACCTAGTTATGCATTGTGGGAGTGCATCAGAACAGTGCTTCCCAAACTTCACACCTGGGGTCTTGTTAACATGCAGCTTCTGGTTCAGTAGGTCTGAAGTAGAGCCTCAGATTCTGCAATTTCCACAAGCTTTCAGGTGATGCTTCCCAGACACTTTGATAGCAGAGTGTTAAAGTATTGTGTGCAGAGTATTAAAGAGTTGTGTGGTTGAAAAATAACCCTTCCTCACCCTACTCGTGGTTGAGAACCACTGATCTAGTCTAATGCCTTTATTCTGCCGCCGGGAAAACTGAGGCCCTTGCAGGGCAAGTGACCTGCTCAAAGACCTTGTGGAACTGTAGTGGAAGCCAGATGAGACGGTGGTATGCAGAGTTCCTGCCTCCAGCCCAGCTTCTAGGTCATTCTTCTCTACAAGTGGCAGTCCCCTTTCTGAAAGTGAAGCTTATCTTGCTGGAGAAAGCATCTTCTTGGGACTCAGATCTGTATACCCGGAGGCAATTAGGAAATATCTCAGATGTAGGCCCCAACAGCCTCATCTGGCCGGTCTCCTTTAGCCATAACCCAGCACACCTGCCCGAAGCCTGCCTCCTGGAAAGCCTCAGTCTCTGCCTTCATTCCTATCCCAGGAATGACCACAAGCTTGCGTGCTATGGCCAGGACTCTGAGCAGAAGCCCTGACTGGTTGGCAGATGGATGTGGGTGACGTAGATAATCTGTAGTGTCTCCCCTCCCCCATTCCTGGAGGGCTCCACAGAGCAAAAAGGCATGAGATACATTGGCTTAAGTGCTGGTTAGGGAGATGGTTTATAGGAAAATGATCCAGGAAGCAGAATTTGAGACCGGAGTCCTCCTCCACACTGATGTGTGTCCCACTTGGCCAAGATTTCTCCTGCGCTGTTTCAGCTTCACTATATGTAAAGGCACCAAACCTTCGTAATAGACATCCCCAAATTTCCTTTCAAAGCTATCTTCCTATGAGTTTGGGCACTGTGGGGGCAGAATTGGCCCTTCAGGCATTGGATGGGTTTTGTGTATATGTGCCCTTTTAAAAATGCATTAACTTAACTGTTCCCT